CTACTTGACTAAGCCTTTCCCGTCCTTTTAACTAAACTTGACTTAAACTACTTGACTAAGCCTTTCCCGTCCTTTTAACTAAACTTGACTTAAACTACTTGACTAAGCCTTTCCAGTCCTTTTATATAAAAGACTAGTATACCATTTAATTATATTTTGCTGACATTATCACATACAGGTATATCGAGCAGTTAAACAGTGCTATTGTCACAGAATCAGAAGCTACAATCGTACCGTAAGTACATAATTATTACTTTTCAAGACTAGCCTCCACCTAGGAGATTTCACAGCAATTATTGTCTTACATGTTCATTAAAGATCGGTTTAAGAGTTTCTTTTCGTTCCCCATCCCCATTATCCTATTCATACACACAACGTAACCACTCCACGAAGGTCTTCATCAAATAAAAGGTTTGAAAAGTCCGGATCAGCGCAAGTTAATGCTGAACAGGAGGAGATATAATCCTCGTGGACAAAATCCGATTTGAGTGAAAACCCAGTCATATACATACATAAGCCACAAGGTTTACGGCTGTACAGATAATCTAGTGGGCTTGTGTCAAGGTAGAGTTTAATTATGTGAACTACGTTATAGTTAAACATTTTTAAAATTTCAAAAATGTTTTATTAAATATCATTTTATGCCTTCAAGTTGTTTAAGATTTATTATTTAAAGTCATCAACGTATCTAAAAAGTTAGTTTTGAAGTTGAAAGTATTCAATGACACAGAGAATACCACATCGGGTTTCAAAACTGGGATGTAGACATCATACATTAATTTATATATATATGTATTTTTGTAACTTCGTGTATGGATAATTTATAAAGGTTGTTTGTTTGAAGTTAAGCACAAAGCTACACAATGGGCTATCTGTGCTCTGCCCACCACGGGTATCGAAACCCGGTTTCTAGTGTTGTAAGTCAGCAGACATACCGCTGTGCCACTGGGGAGCAATTTATAAAAAGTAGATACAAATTATACTTTGGTTTTCAATCGATGAAGATACTCCATCCTGTTTGAATATTGAGGACAGACAGAGATTCATTTTGTGGGTCAGTTAAAAAAAATGGATGTTACCCGTTGTTTTTGAACCGTACGTTAAACAGATTATCTTTTTTTTTATATATAAAATTAGTCGATGAACATGTCATTAAAATCAGCTAGTTTTTACGACTTCTGAGTCATCAAGTTCGCACCAGGCAACAGTTTATCCACTGGACCTTTAAAACAAAATGTAAAACTCGAGAAAACAAGATCCATCTCGTCGAGGTTCATTAGTAATTAATGCCTTGATGTATATCTTTATAGTGATTCGTGGGATTTGAAGTAAACCTGGCGTGATAATAATCACACAAAAATAAATAAAATAAAATGAATAAAAGTGTGTATTTCTTCTTAACTTTTACAATTTTCTTTTACGTCTGTAGAAGCGTTTGTTTACTGAATTTCGCGGAAACCTACACGAGAGTTATCAGCACTAGCTGTCCATAAGGGAAGGCTGCTAGTCAACAGCACCAACCACCAACACTCGGTTACTCCTCGCTAATTGAATAGTAGGATTTCACTGCCCACCACGGGTATCGAAACCCGGATTCTAGCGTTGTAAGTCCGCAGACATACCGCTGTGCCACTAGGGGGCTTTTATTTTTTAACAGTCTATTTGTTGTTAAGCCCAAAGCTACACAATGGACTAATTATACTATGCTGACTGCGGGTATCGAAACTCGATTTTTAACGTTATAAGTACTCAGACTTATCGCTGAGTCACCGGGGTAGGGCATTTTTTAACAGAAACTTAAACACTTATCTGACTTCTATAAGATAAGACTCTCTATGCAAGATCAATTAATAAACAAAATTTTAAATAAATTATTCCAGCTTTTCTTTCTCATTTTTCTTTCTTCATCATCATTAAAGCTCAGCGACGATATTCCACTCATAATTATCTCATTTTCATTCGTACATCTTAGATGTTTTTCCTATCAGTTCTTTCTCACTTTAATACCTCCTCCTACGTGCTATATGAAAAGCAGGTCTCACGCAAACCGATCAAACATTTGGTTAATTTATTTTATAATAAGCAACATGTGAGCGTTAATTGACGTCAAGCATGTTTTGTTATAACACAAGCTCTCTCAGACAATGAGAATATCGTGCGTGATAATATTGAAACATGATCCTATTATTAATAATGTAAACAGAAACAATTAGGCCAAATTATTAATAATTAAGACATATTTGTCTTCATTTCACATGAAAGGTTTTTAGTTTATATAGAGCTGTAGTAGTTAAGATTTAAAGTTTAATTGTTTCAGTACTTTGCTGGCTATCACCTATACGTACATACAATTAACATAAATATTGTTACTTGCGTAACAGATTCATCACGTCAGACAACGTTTTGATGACGCTACGCCAAAAAATAAAAACTTTTCCTGGTGTCTATACTTACCTCTATACTAGTGTATTCTGTACCTAGCTTACGGGTTGTGTCTAAGCCTTTCTTACGCATGGTGAGAGCCGGTAATGCGATTTATGGGTCTATAGCCCACAAGAACGTTAAAGTAAGTTAATAGAAGTGGGGATCAGGATCAACAGCAGCGGTTCAAAGAACACCTACTAAATCCCACATGAATAATAAACCTCTTGGGGGTGTCCTAAATG